GTATTTACTTTACTTTACAAATGAACTGGAACCAGAAGTGCTGCTTTTTTTGATAATAGCTTTTTAATAGAAAAAATAATAGATCAAAAGTATGACCATAACTACTATTCTTATTGAAAGTGCGAAATCGACACGTTTTACTCCTTTTTATCAAATTCTACCCATAACTTAAAATAATTGATTAAATTATGTATGTACCTATTTCTATACTCCATTCTTTAAAAATCCATATACAGAAAAAGGAGGTACTTAATTTAATTCCATGAAATTGTAAATTCCTATTTGTAGGAAAAGGATTTACGTATGCACTGTAATTAAACCTATTTTTAAAGATTAAATAAAGGATATTTAAGCTAAAATAAATATACAATTTTTAATGATTGACACAAATGCGGTCATATCACTTTATGGGAAAAGAGCCATGACTATTTTACATCGTTCTCATAATACTTAAATCACATCAATGTATTCCCAAGACACAATTTAACAATTTCACTTGTTATCAACCGAACTTTTCTCTTTTAAAAATACACCCGTATTGTGCTCAGTTCCATCGGAGCAAAGGAGCCTTTGTTTACCTTGGAAATGGGCGTTCCATCCTGAGTACCACACAAATTTGTTTGATAGACTGCTTTTACGTTACGAAGTATTTTCTCTATTGAAAAACTGTAATCTCCATTACAGTTATGCTGCTGAAAGTGATTTATTTCACACGTAAAGCTTTGTCGATGTAATGTTATTAGAGCTGTATTGACAGATAACTTTTCTGTCGAAGCTTTATAAATGATTAATCTAAAATTAATAACAAAAATGTCGCAAGGAAACGGTGTTTTGATTAATGGAAGAAAGGTGTAGTAGCAATGTTCAGTTTGTGATCTATCGATGAAAAATATATCCAAGTGGTAATTAAGTGCATTGGCAAGATGCAGAGCGTCCAAGCTTGGCAACTGTAATGTCGCTTTCCGGTTTACGCTGTGGAAAGTTTTACTCCTTATGAAGTTTTCTAACAATATAACATGCCTATGATATGTAGCACCATTGTCAGCTAGACCTTCGCCCGTCCCGCGGCCATCATTGAAAAGAACCCTGCGGTCCAACATGACCACGATCTGTCCTTCCTGTAAACAAGTCACACCATGGGCATGATCTGTTAATAATGTTAAACGGTTTTGGTAATCCTGTATGTAAGCCATACTTGTCATAGGGTAAATGTTTGATTCGATTCGTCTGCTTATATTTATATATCTGGAGGTATATTGAAAACCATTGTTATCAATTATCAACTCTGGCGGATTACCGTTGACTATATCAGTTTGTACTGATAAAAACACCTCTAGTTCTCTGTTTTTAGGAGATGCCTCGTAATCTGTTTTAGATTCCACGCAAATGATTTTGGAAAAAGGGCCATTCATCAAATTAAAAATTTTGACGCTACTCTGCAACAGTCGACCAAAGATGGTTGTCAGTTCAGTTGTTACTAAACCAGAAATTATTAGTACGATTTTTGTTTTAACTCCCCTTCTATAAGGTGATAGAATGTCGTGTAACGGCTTAGAAGAATTCGTGTTAAACAAAAACATTCCTGAATTTATATGATTACTTTTAAAAGCACCGTAATCGATCATGACGGTTTTTTTATTATTTGTGTCTTTCTCAAATACTGTTTTTAGTAATCCTGTGATTTCATCAAATATTAATCGATGTTTATAATTTTCTAGTTGTATATCGCCTATTTCTATTGGCTGGATGTTAAATGGAAACACTGGTCCATTGCCGGGAGTATCGTCCATTATGCAGGAAACGCAGTAAATTGTTGATGCGCTGGATGACGCATCATAAGTCTCCTTGATTTTAAAGAGCTCTAATGTCATCGGAGGAATCACTATTACGAATGAGATAGTAAAGAATTGCCGAGATATTTTAATCGTATTTTCTGATTGGTAATTCCATATCGGATTGATTTGTATTGTTACGTCCTTTTTATTATGATCAATAATTCTTACATTCGGATTTCGAGTGACAAATTCCACAACTTCTGTTCTCTCATGGCTCAGTGAATTGAAAACATAAATCTGATCACCTGGAGTCACAGTTCTAAAAGCTGAAATAAATTCACCGTTTCTATACACGTATTTTTGGAGATACGTGACATTTCTTTCTGATTTTATACTTATCATACTTGCACTTGTTTCTTGTATGTACCAACAATCTTTAACGGTTGTTAATATTTTTTTATGTACATATTTTAATACATTGGCCGTCAATGTCCCACTAACAACGTTACGATCGTGGAGACGAGCTACTGTTTCTCTTGATTTCATTAAAAGATTAAATAAATCAGAGACGTTCATCTGTCGAAAAACATTAGAACTAACAGCGAAAGAGAAGAGAATTTCTGTAGTTCTTAAAGTAGATTCAAGGCGTCTTAATAGAATTTTTAATAAAGGTCTAGTTGTAAAGAATCCTGACCAATAGGCCGGTGTGCCTGAGCTAACGTCTGCGAAATTAAGAAAGTCTCCTTTTAAAGATGGATATGCTCTGTTTTTTTCAACAATTGTCTGGAAATAATCTTTGGGAGTGCCGAAATCAATGGTTGCTCTATATATCTCACGATTCATATTAACGAAGTCGGCAATTTTTTGGTAGTTATTATATTGAAAATCAAACTCTGTTTGTTGTTCATAGTGGTAGGGGCCTCCTATTGGAGCAATTATAACATTATGTTGTGATATTGTACCGGTCTTAGAATATTGTTCGAGCAATAATTCAGCTTTTTGTTTTACGTTATATGAATCTATGTTGTTAATAGATTTTACAAAATTAAAATCTGACACACATATATCTTTATCTGGCCCACAAGCTTTAAAACCAGCTGAATTAAACTGCAGATAATGAGTAAGAACAGAATTTTTCGGATAGCGTTCCTTGCCAATTTTATTTAGAATATCGTTGATGTTCGATTTTGAAAATATATCATTATCCCAATTCTGTACCCAAATAAAATCGCTATATTGGTACTCAGCTAGGTATTGTTCCCATGAATAATGGATATTTGTTAAAATTAGGTTCGAGATCCCACAGGCTGAAAGAAGATAAGCCATAGTGGGGCTATGAGTTACGCTGTTTGTGAGCCATCCTGTTTTTGGTACGAAATTTAAGTGGTGTTTTAACCATTGATGACCTGGAAAAAATGATGTACACTTATTCATAAGCATTTTAAAGAATACGGATTAAGATACAAAACAGAGATTTTTTAATTACCTTCCATAAGCTGATGTAAGAGACCAAACAAATGGATTGTACCTTCATCAGGTTCAACCCAGCCACCTGTAGTTATTTCTATACGACCTCCTCGCACCAACCTTCGAAATGCCTGTAAAATCATATGCAAAACAATACTTTGACTTATGGTAAAAAATAGAATTATTACCATTATAATATCATACCGAACGATTCTTCTGTGTTGTAGTTTGCCACCATTGACTCAAATGTGATACCTCGTTCCATGTGAATGTTAAATTCTTGTAAAATTGTAATTTCTTGACTAAATTTGATAAAATTTTGTTAACGCTGTTGTTGTGATATTGATCAAAGCTTTGTCTCCAAATTGAATCGACTTGAGTGCGTGGTACTAAAATAACCTGTTAAATAATGTTATCTGTTAGTCTAGATCTAGGATTAAAATACGTAAGTGTATGTGCTTTGTACGTTTGTATTTTTTTAGCTCGTGCTACTTTTCAGACGGTAAATTAAATGGTTTTTTTTTAAATAAACATACAAATAAGGTAACATTTAGAACAATACCCTAGTGATTTTTTTTAGGAAAAGGGTGAAACGAGCTGTGGATCGCCTAAAATTACTTGATATTACGCTATGGAACAGCTAAAGTATCCGTTTGATGATTATAAATGTCTCAGAAAACGTATTTGAGTTTATTACTAATATTTTTTAACCAAAACATTTTTTTTGTGAAAAAAAAATTGTTATGGCTCAGGGTCTCAGACGCAACATTCATCAAAGGAATTACGACCTATTGACAATCTGGTCACACGATTAGGGGAGGGATATTGCGAATGCTATGTCACTCTCGAGTCAGTCAAATTGTCTTTCAATGTAATTTTTTAGTGTGATATTACATGTCGAAGCAACATATCGTGTTGTCGCATTTGATCGAAAATAATATTAACACTAGCTTTAGAACAATGAACGAAATTCCTGAGGTAAGTTGATGTTTTGCTGAACTCACTGCTTACTTTAATTAAACTAATTATTATTTACTTTGTTACTGTTTTAGTTCTTGGAATCGATTAATTTTTTTTTTAATTTCGCTTAAAGCGCATCGTTGTAATACAATACCAATCTCGCATTCATTTGCCATATTGGTAAGATATTGTATTGCATCTCCACAGTCGAAACATTTCTTTAAAACATATTGTCATCTCTCTCATTCCGTTTGGAGAAACAGAGATGACAATACTTTTTATTATGCAGAAGAATTGATGTGGGCTAATGAACTAATTAAGTTGTACACGGGTTCGATATCATGATTAGGCTGAGGCTAAATATGTATTTATATGAAAAACATCAAAGAAAATCGACATTTAATATGAGTTATAAACTTGTATAACAGTGTAAAAATTATTTGCGTGTCTTAATTAAAGCAAATTTAAATACCTTTAGAGGCGGCCATCTATTGTTTCTCATCAGCGACTCATAGCGACTGTCAAACATTTTATTCCAAAACTGTTTCTTCGTTATCCAAGGCGGCTGAATTATATAAATTAATATTAACAATATATTATTAATTTAATTTAAGCTTTAAAGATACTCACCTCGATATCGAATTTAGAAAATTTGTCTTGAGCGTCAATATCAGCGTTATACGGTTGCAAAACAACACAAGTGAAGGGATTTACGGGCACAGTGTAGTTGTAATACATAGGAACAACTTCGGGAGTCACTTCTTCTATTAAAAAGTCCGCTTTATCATTATCTACTTCGTATTCTGGCATTTTCCTCATATGTAAGTCATTAGATTCCGACGATTTGTCATTTCCTATATCACTACTTGTTCTAAATATTGTCTTTTTTGAAGCGTTATTATTTCCAAATACGTGAAGAATCTCCTGCATATTTGTCGACTTCTGTTCTTCGATTGGTGGAAAAAATCTAGATGTTTTAGGTATTTTATAAAAACTTTCGACAGTTATTTTATCTGGATAACTATTATTTGTTATTTTGTCGAGTGAGTTGTCTAGGGGGAATAAAATGTTATCGAAAGATAGAGGATGTGTGTAATTGTAGAAAGTGTCACGAGTTAACCTCAGCTCATTTGGATGTCGATTCTCCCTTCGGTTCATTTTAAACTTGGAGTTATCACTTTTGCTCCGGCTTGTATCCACAGCAGATAAAATAGTAGACATTTTGGGTCTTTGCTTATTGTTTAACATTTTTCCTTGAGGATATTCTGGAAATAGCTCGGCGTGAACTTTCAAATGATAAGGTGATTTCGACATAGATATATTCTTCCAGTATACATGATTTCCTTCGATTTCGCTGAACGGTCTTTGGACCATTTTCGATTGGCTTCGAACAATTTTTCGCAATGCTATAAAAATTAAACAGTTAATTTATGATCCTTTATAAGACAAATATTGTAAATTCCTTTCCAATATTAAGAAAATCAATCGCCAGATTTCACTGTGTCACCATCAATATACTTTAACAAATATGAAATTGAATGAGATGAAAATGGTGAATTCATTGCTTAATATTGGGAAAATAAGACGATTACCCTTTTGTTCGTTTAGAAATGTTTTGACTTAAGAAATTATGTTTGGAAGTAGAAGACATTTAATTATAGCATTTTTAGTTAAATTGAAGTTACTTACTCTTTTCATAACCGTAGGTGGTAATAGCTATAATAATTAATATAAAAATAATGAATTGAAAATGAAATATGTTCCCGCTAGCCATGACTCGGTGTAATGGCAGTTTGTGACTGATTATGCGATACACCATTACAAGGATGTTTAAAAAAAAATGGTTAGTCAACAAGCAATTGTGTTTCCGTATGTCCTATACCGATGAAGACAATGTTATGACTGTTGTACTTGATTGTACTTGGTTGTATTATTACAACTTCGTACGTTCATTGTTAAGCCGTACGTTGTATTTGGTAAATAGTTTATGGAGTGTTTGCCATTTTTTGCGTATACCGCCTAACAGTTCTAATGGGTTCATTATTTTATAGTTAGATTTACTGTTAATTTCTATTTCACGGTTTTATTTAAATTGTCATGTTTATGTTTTAATTGAAAACTCAGTTACTTAACTTACAAAATAATAGATAAATCTAACTTTCGTAGCTAGAGTATTTGAGGGTATCATAAAAATGAAAAATAGTTTTTATTAGGATGCATTTATGTCCTATATTGAGACAAAATACGCATGCGCGTAGAACATGAATGAAGTTAGCTATTGTGCGAAGTGCGAAGTGAAGTTAACATTGTGCTACCAACCAGCAATAATTCGGCGGTACAATTTTATTGATCCAACTCAACCCCAAACATTTCGCCGGGAGACACCGGCTAGTCTTATACCGAACGTACGCTACGTGTTAATTGTTTACATAAGTTGGAACTCCTTGAATCAATATTTAAAAAAGGAACACAATGGTAAGACATTATTTCAACATAAATTAGCTTAGCCAAAGTAAAATTTGCATACTTCGCGGTAAACCAGCCGTTATTAAAGATATTCTTATATAATTTAGTACTGCTGTTTTAAAATATTTTAATTAATTTTCGAATATTTTAATAAAATTTTTACTATGTATCTGAATATTTTTTGAAGTATGTTCAATAGAGTTAAATCAGTAAATATGAAATAAGCAACAAGTATTTCATGCATAAATATTGTTGTAACATATAAATGTATGTGTGTATGTTAATCGGTAAATGTAGATAATATATTAAAAATAAGTTAAATTAATTATTGAAATATACAGGACGTTATTTTACCGATTTTTAAATTATTGTTATTACTTTAAGCTTACTCCACATCTGCGTAACCCTACCCTAAATATAAAATTACGCACTTTTGCTGCCCTTATTCACCGTCGATTTTATACTTTCGACAGAATTAGTCCATCCCCTAAGTCACACCTTCGTATATAATATTTACCATAAATTGATTTACTTTATATCTGACATCTTATTCAATCTTTCACAAAAAAAAAAAATATTTCACAGGATAATAGTGCTATGACTACTTCAGGATTATTGGATTGGGAATTATCTTTACCATCCGACCAGATAATATCCCACGGCTGGTACCACGGAGCTCTAAGCAGAACAGCTGCTGAGAACCTTCTCCAGCAAGACCGTCAGTTTCTCGTCCGCGAGTCGTCGTCTCAACCTGACAATTATGTACTTAGCTGTCGCTCAAATGGACAACATTTACATTTCGTCATACAACGGGTAATTACCAATAATGCAACATATGTTTCATACAAGTAGTGCATCTGCGTTTTTGCTCGTTCTATATTAAAATGGTTTTATATTTATTTCCAGATCGTAGTGCACCCTGAAACCGTCTATGAGAAATTTCAATACCAGTTTGAAGATGAAGCATACGATACAGTAGCAGACCTTATCACTTCGTACGTGGGTTCTGGCAAGCCAATATCAGCGGCGTCGGGAGCCAGAATTCAATATCCAGCAAATCGAGTTGCACCCCTGACGAACTACACTCCTGATGACATGACCTCTGTAGTATCCCCAATGGGCGAATCATCTGGCTACGGCAATCCTTATAGTTTGTACAGTCATTTTGCCGCAAAGCCAGGAATGCAACTTCGTGTCCCATTTAAGAAACAACGATCCCATTCCCTGACACCAATAGATATAGCTCAACACGTAACGCACGGAAAAAGTGCTAGTGCAGATGGTGTTATACAAAGTCAAACAAATAAACACCACAAACATTTGTCTGGTGATTCCAACTCCAGTTCGGGAACTTGGGATGCAAACTTGCCGACGAGCCCGCCTGCCAAACCAGTTCGTTACGAAGGACCTAAGGCAGATGACAGACGACTGGAACTTCAAAGATTCTATCACGTTTCTGGTTCAGATTCCGGCAATGGATCTGGCGATTCGACACAGAGCTCCGCTCATAGTGACCCGAATAAGTCTAGACTTGACATAGATTACAACTTAGTGACACCAACATTAAAACAACAATTTGATTACGATGTTACAGAAGCTAGACTGTTACAGGCTGAAAATTTGGACTATTTGATTGAATCAAGGATTAACTTGGAAAACTTCCAATCGCAGATCATACCAATGAATCTAACAAAGCCCTTAGAGTCGGAGACTTTACACAATATCAAATTGTTCTTAAGAACATGTGGACCGCGTATTTTGGCAAATCACATGACAAAAGTAGACTTGCATTTCTTGATAGATGATGCCGTGCAAATCGAAGGCTTGGATAAAACTGCCTCAGGACTAGAGTTATGCTTTTTGCCTCAAGGTCGATCCTTACGTATGGATGTGATAGAGAGGTATGTATAAAATAATTGATCCAAACCTTTCAAATAGCTTTCGCTTATTGCAGCTTTTTTCAATTCCAGAATTGAAACTTTTCGACTCCTCGTAGCGGTTACAATATTAACCTGCCAAACGGATAGGCAGAGAGCAGATACTATTAATGACTGGATCCTCCTCGCCGTAGAAACAAAGACAGCATTGGGAAATCTGTATGGATTTTCGGCTATCATGTTCGGCCTATGCATGCCACAGGTACCTAAATATTAAAATTAGTTTGTTAAAAACCAGATAGTTAGAAAACTAACAATATACCTTTCTTGTCCAGGTGGAGTGCTTAGAAAATGCATGGAGTATACTACGCCAAGCCCACACAGATAGCGCAATTATGTTTGAAGCTAAATTGAGACCGTGTTTTAAAAGTATGAATGAAGGAAATAATCCGCTTCCTCCTAACACTACCACGCCGTATGTGTTGCCGCCAGTACTTTGCTTCCATATGTTTGGTAAGTACGATATACGGAATAATATGTTACAGCATAGATTTCTTTATTTCAATGGATAAAATGAATATTTCAATTTAAGCTCATACCTGGTTGTGTCCACTATCCACCACTTACATCGTGTTTATTTTACAGATGGCGAAGGAGGCGATGTTATGCAGCCCGATGACACTTTCCCGAATAGTCTCGTGAACACACTAGATTTCGACTTCACCAGTACAGCTGCGCATTTAGATGCGGCCAGACATTTTCCCAACCAAGTTGATATGTTCAAAAGAAACGCCCGAACAGTTATCCAAGTAATGTCACAACTGGGACCATTATTAGATCCAGTATTACTCGAACTCTTTAAGACAGAATTTCATATAAATTTCCTTTGGGGTGAACGAGGTGCCCTGACAACACCTAACCAAAGATTTGCGAGGCTAACTGATATATTAACTACGATGGCTGCAAAACTAGCAAATCAAACTCCACTGCAAGAGGACGTTGTTTAAGTTTTTGTTTAATAGCATTAACTTTTTGGAATATCTAATCAACTGAAATAACAGTACACTTAGAAATTAAATTTATAGTATGAAATAAAATAATTTAGTGGTTATCGATGTCAATCTTTGGTGGCTCAAGGTCTGCTGCGCGAAGCCTAGTGCGCTTCACCTGCATCCCTCAATGCCGTGACACATCTAAACCTAAATGTGTGCAAACACGCATACTATGTTTTATATTTCGACCAAAGAGTCAGCGTTAACAAACGCTCTCAGTCTTCACCGACTGACATGCCAGATTTAAGAACTGTCTGTACTCTGTAGGATAAGTATTATTATTAAACGGTTTTAAGTTTTAACTATCCCACTTATAGATTTTATGACCATAATTTATTTCTGTGCCATGAGAAGTGTAGTGATAGAATACAATTATTTGATCGTAATAATTATTATTGAAAAATGTACTGATACTTTAAATAAATTAATAAAAGGCTATGCAACAAAACGTCTTAATTTTATTTCTAATATTGCCATTTCATAATTAAAAAACCTTTTGGGCTTGTACCTTGTCGTAAGTGCAATGTAACAGTTGCTTAGATGCCAGAACTGGTACGTGCCGGGTACAAGAGCAATGCGCATACTCGTGCCAGTAAAATGGAACAGTAACTTACATGCCAGTTCACAAGCGTGTACAAGACGAAACTTGTCAGTGCAATCCCATCGAACCCTCCCTTAATTTGCATGCCATTGCTGTCACAAAATCAAATATGTGCACTAGCGTAAGGCAAGGCTAGTAACCATACTTGCTTGCCACTTAATGTTTGAAGATGCCTGTAGCTGGCATCTGACAGCTGTTTGTATACTCGCCATTGCTATTACACTGATATGGAATTCAAATGTTCAGAAGTATTTTTTTGTAATACAGGGCGCACATCTGACTAAACTATCACACAATATAGGTTTCAAAGCGAGACTGATCAGTTGAACGGCAGTTTGATTTCAGGTTTTTAATTTTATTTTAAAATAATAACACAAAATCCCCAATAAAAAATTTATTTTAAAACACGACATAAAAGCATATTGTTTTACACTTATTTGCTTATCTTAATTAAATACAATGCATCAAGTACATTGAAATAGTACTACTAGTTTAACACCATATGTTTATACCCTTTAAAATTTGATAAAATTATTTTTTAAAACCGATTACATAAAAATATATAAACCAACATTTAAAATTTTACTTGCCATCTTCATGAAATAGGAATTTTCAATCTGCAGTACATAGGATACATGACAAAATATTTTAAAACTTAATGCTAGCCCTGTTTTAATTATATGTATATGAAAATTAAACTATATAAATTTCTGAATAGTACAAAACTAAAAAAATATAAAAATTATTGATCTTACCATAAAGGTTTATTATGTCTGATATAAATAAATATATATTTCATAATATTCATAGTATTATGCAATGTGTTATGAAAGATCTTTTTTTTAACTTTCTCGACTAACAACTTTCCAAACCATACTCCTAAACTATAATTATTTGGTTATTAAAGTGATAAATTATTGCTTTTATTACTTATACATAAAAATATTAATTAAGTATCTTTCAAATATATATATATAGTCTATTTGTAGAATATATATGTATATGCCGGTCTTGAACATACCGAGGCCAGAAGAAGAATGGGTTAAAAGTCAGTCTTAAATTTGAAATTACTGCACCAACCAGTTTAGTAAATAATGCATTGTTCACAAACTTAGTATGTATAAATATATACTATATATTGATATATAGGATGTTAAAAAAAGTCTTATCGATGGAATAAATATTAGAACTTTAAAGATTTGGCGAATAGCGCAACTGTAGCCTGCGTTTTATCGCCGTTGAATCTTCTCAGCTCAACAATTGCCTGAAATTATACCATATTAGTATTTCTAAAACAAACTGTTACATTCGCTATTGAATGGTATAAGCCCTTTACTGTAGTTTTCTCATACAAATATTCTAAGGTAATTAACGACTGCTAGCAGTTAATGGTAATAATCTCGTCTTAATTATTATTGAATGGTAAAGGCTACAATAATTATATTCACCTGTTCTCTGGTGAACCCTAGGCCAACAATTTCCTCAACATCAGTTTCACTGAATAAATCTGTTGGTAGGATTGTCATGCTTGGATTTCCAAGTCCTGTAAATAAAAATAGTTTTACAAACTTTTAATAAGTACTCTTTTTTATATTCATACTTAAAATATATTGTCAACTAGAGATAACAATTATGGCCATGTTTCACTAGTGTAATATATCTATATCTATACTAATACTATAAAGTGGTAAGTGTGTTTTGTATATATTGAAATACATCAAAAACTACTGGGCCGATTTTTAAAATTCTTTCACCATTAAAAAGCTAAGTTATCGCTGAGTAGCATAGGCTATTTTTTATTATTTCTTCATTACATATGGACGAAGTCGCCAGCAAAAGCTAGTATGATATGGAATTCTTACCGGTTCTCTTATTTCCTTGTCCTGGGTTAGATGCTTGAGAGCTTGGACCCGGTCTTGATGTTTGGTTCCTCGTTGCATCTGCTAAAACATGTTAGAAATTCTTTATAACAATAAAATATAGATTTTCACTGTCAATGCAAAATTATACAATCTTACCAGTTTGATTATCCGATTGCCCTACACCTGTAGATGTCTGAGCATTATTAAATGCTTGCTCTGAAAAATTGTTAAAAACATTGAGGTTATTGGTTAAAATTTAATATATGAAGATATTTTTTTAAATACAATACAATACTATAAATTATAATAAAATGTATGAATAAAATAAGCCATTTTATTGCCTTGGTGGTCGGTGACGAATGAAATGCAATAAATTCACTGTGGTGATGTAAAAAAGATGATCTTCTTAATAAGTTTCACACTAAAATATCTTGCAACACTTCCTTATATATGTATTATGATTATTGCTTACATTTTCCAACACTTCGATGTAAATGAGAGGAGAAATATTCCATTAGAGTAAACCTGTAAAATTACCATGGAAGCATACTCTTGTAGTTAAACACAAAATAAATAAAATTAATATATTTTATGTCTTTTCATATTGAGACAGCAAAAGGCTTGCTTTTTTTTCTATAAAATTTAAATATACCAAACTATTTGAACTATAAAATTATTAACCTTAAAAGTTATGAATTAAACACATTTTTTGTTATATACAAGTAGTGTTAAGTTGATTTTTATAATGAACTTAAAAAATGATTGGACATTCCCAAATTCAAGCTACATTACGTGTATGTACAATTTACTCCTTGTATTACATAAATGAAGTAAATTTAAATGGTTATACAAAAGTATTAGTCACTACAAACATTTCAAAAACTATAGTATCTGAATAATTCAGTGAGTGAATGTTGCAAGCGGATAAAAAAACATTTAGTTGATAAAATAATGAAAGGAAACACATGCAAAAGCAGAAAATAAAAAGAATAATAACTTGTACTGTTTTTATTTTTTTATACTTTGTTACTGCCTTAATAAACATGCAACAAATTTATTTTTCACTCTTACCTCAAAAATTTGCAACCAAAACAGTAGTTAGTAAAAATAGATTTATTGAACATATTTCGTTTATCCTAATTTTAGCAAAACTCAATAAAAAAAGCAATAGAAAAGATAGCAGTGCAAAATGATTTCCTTTAAAAAAGTGATTCACAATTTCATGTAACTGTGCAATGACCACAGGAAAGCTTAAATAAAGATGTAAAAAACAAAAAATGAGTTGTCACATTTATTTCTTTTTTCCTCTCCCACCTTGTTTGGATTTCTCGAGGGCTTCCTTTATTTGACGTTCCTCATGGGCCCGAGTGGATTGGTTGACAATTTCATCTTCAGAATAACCAGATAAACGGGCACATTCTGGTAATTCAGACTCAGGGAGAAACGGTGTCTCAGTACCGGTAGTCCCAATACGTAACACGTTTCGTTTTAAATCAATGTTACACTGAAAAAAAAAACACTATGTCTAAAGGCATTTCGTGTATTCATGTATGTAAACAATACATGTATAATATTTTATTTAATGTAAGCCAGGTAATTTAACATTTATAAACACTTTATATTTATTTAACCAACATGTATATCTCATCGGCAAGCTAAATTACACAAGCAAGCTAAAAGTTAAATAAGATCTCTTTTTTCCTTCCACAATTCACAAAAACTAACTAACCTGATGTCTTTTTAACATATCCAAGCCAAGGAGCATATCCATTGGTTGTTCTTCAAGCACTGAGAATGATGTTGTTAGGAAGTCTTTCTCAATTCTCATTTGAACCATATGGATTCTCCCTATAATGCGTTGTACACCAACACCTTTAGCAATGCCCGCCCATCTATAAATAATAAAAACCATATATGGGGTATGTTTTGATTAAATGTATTTAATCCAATTTTACCAATATGTAGACAAATTTGTTTGATCAAGACATTATTGAAACTATAAAAATATAGAAAAAAAAGTTAAACAAAGCAATACTGCCAAATGTTTGATAATGATGTAATAGCTATCTAGCGTTAACCTATAACTTCTTATTGTCTTAGCAGGATTGCTATGCTGTAGATAGTAATATATCAAGCTTTAAATAAAAGTTTACTTAAATTATCACTACTTTTGATATCATATTATTACTTAACTCTTTTTTTTGATATCAGGGGAAATCTGAGAAAAATACCCTGTAATCATTGCTTACCTAGTATCAACAAGTCTCATAATATTACATCTCTCTGCGCAGGCAGCCGACATAATGGTTGTTTGGGCACCTGAATCAATAAATGCTTTAACAGGAAACCTGAAAAGAAAAATACCATTTTCATTAGCTATTCTATTGTATACTACACTTCTAAGAGTAACTGTTGTATTTTAAAAATGCATTACTAGCTTTTGGCCATGTGGAATTAAAAAACAGATAGTAGCCTATGAGTTCTTTTTTTTTTTAAATTGCAAAACCAGCGCTTGACCACTATCCCACCTTTTATTTTCTCGCTGGGAAAATGCATTTACGCATCCCCCCCCTCTTCACCAGGGGTATATGTGGGACTCGCCGGCCGAGAAGATAGAAAATGGCCGGAATACCCACTAAAAACACAGCGGTGTTCCTTCTATCCGCCAGTGGCTGGGTCACGGGAACGCTTGCGCAATCTTCCGCGATCCAGCCAGCGACCACTATCTCACCTAGACCAAGTTCTTCCAGGCTATGCTCTAAATATGCCAACCTTAATCACGATCTGTTCAGCCATTTAGGCGGTTAACTATAACAAACATCCATCCATCCAACTTTCACATTTATAATATTAATAAGTGAGATATAACACGAACCCATTAACATGGCAATTGATGTACAACATCACAACAGTTCCAAATGTCTCCGGATTATACTCCATAGCTGCTTCCATATTAGCTTCAATATTCTTCTGTCGTATCTCTTCCGCAATCATTCTTTGTGCTTCAGTATCAAATGGATCGGAATTCATCATCCTGTTAAAGTAAAATTTAATTATATATAAAAAATTATTCAAAGACATTTAACCGGTTTCTAGTCAATTGCCAAGCCTTTTATTTATTGGTACAAATTAATTCTTCATATCAAAAAGAAGAGGGAAATTCTTTACTGTCAACTGTTTATACATAAATGAGCAATGTTCAAATAAGAACCAAAAATATTGTCTTTCACTGTGCTGACAATAACATGTTCAATGCCACCTTGAAATATGTGAATCATCAAAAAGTTCCTTTGTTCATATTCCTAGTAAGCGGCACAAAACCTGCTAAACTGTGTATGAAATTGACACTACGTACTTTGATATTTATATTGCTGTAATATGAGCATACTAATCAAGCAAAATATACCACAAAGTTATTATAAAACTGAGATTCTCAAACTTATTTATGCTACTGCTTGCTTTCAGAATTAATTATTTCCTAGTGATTCCAAATCATGATAACATTTTCAAACTCTATTGAAATATAACACAAAACATTCAATAATGCTCATAGCACACTTGAATAGAGTTTGAGAATAAATAATAAAGTAATTTGACTACCAGATTACCTTATTCTTTGCTGTTGACGCTCGGTCCTTGCCGACAATTGTTCCCGAAGAACAGAAGCAAAGGTATCTAGAAAAAAAATATTTGTATTTATGATATTCACCGCACAAGTAATTTAAAAGTGTAATAAGATGTATTCAAATAGGAAACTTACCAAGGTTTCCACTAAGCAAGGCGTCTGCCAATCGTGGATTATTTTGTTTGAGTAATGCTAGCTCATCAGGTTTGGCAAGAAACATTTCTCTTATTAAACGGGGGTCTTCCTCAACTGGATTGTTTCTTGCAGCCATTGAGCTACTAGCAACAGCAGGTGGAACTTGTATACTGCTAAAATCAAGGTTGGCTAAACCTGCAGGCAATGCTGAAAACAAATAATCACCAAATTTATCAAAAAAAATCCAATCAAAACAAATATTTTTTTTTGACAGCAACAAAATGTCATTTATATTTTTAATTTTTACGCAGCCGCTTTAATTGCAGTAAACAGTTTACCGATTGTTGCACATTGATGACGTTAAGTAAGTCAACAAGAAACATGACACTGCAATTTTCTCAAAGTGAAACAAAGGTGCATACCTTGACTGGCGTCATTGACGTTGAGACTGGAAGAAGATTGCAGCATGTGAAGTAGAACGATGACATCTCCATCGTTTATACCATGGTCCCTTAGAGACTTCTTGTCGTCCAACAGCGGTTGGCCGTTGAAGTTCAGGATTATGTCCTTTGCTCGAAAACCGGATTCTATTTCACAGAATGCTTTAAAATTCTCCAATTCCAGATCTTCAGAAACATCAATGACGAAAATTTCGTCTGTTAGCGTAGTTACAGTAACTTTCATCGTGAAATTCTTTGATATCGCGTTCTTTTCTTCGTAAGACCTCTGTAAACGTTTTGTGTTATTTATATTTAAGCAATGACGGCCTAAAACATTTTATAGTACACGAACGTTTTATATCACAATAGGTTTCAGCAATAAACGGAGCACAAATAACATTTCTCTTCGAGCCGCTGGATACACAAAGTACATTTTTTTTTGTAAATTTGCAAGGTAGCTTCACTTTGCGATTTGTGAGTTGTGAGTTATGCCCGGTTCACACTTGGCTTTGGCCTGTACAGTTGGCCAGTAACGCAGTCCAGTCATCGGCTGTATGGACTCACAATTGCCAGTTGAAACCCAGTCTATTTCGTGATCGCTCCTCGCCAACTGTGCTGGCTAAGTGTGAACTAGACATTACATTTGATTACACGAAACTGTCTGGCCAATGGCTTAAAACTTTCTCGCAGTTAATATGATCATTTACTGAACATGTCTTAATTAAAGTTTATTGTCTATTACGAGGACAATAATTTATACAACTGTTTATAAAAAAATACTAAAATGCGCTTTAAAAAGCATGTTATTTAAATTATTGGTGAAAAAACTATAACACCGAAAAGTCTAAAACTCTATCAGATCGGATAGGTTGCTGCTTGGAACTGACAGTTTTTGTTTTGCTCCGAGTTAAACGCGCCTGTTGACATTACTGACAGTTAATTCTATCTCAATTATTAGTTCGAATTCTCACCACCCTTGTCAACTATTACCGTTAGCGCCAAAATGGCGAATCTAAAAAGCACAAAGTATTAGGGCTTATAGCCTATCCGTTAATAGGAAGTCGGAGTCTAGAATAGACAACATTTATTACTGAGATGGCAACTCAGGGACATCTTTGTTATTAATTCAGTTGAGAAGTTGCGATTGTTATCAATCAGTGTCTGGCGAGCAAGTTGATCAATTGAGTGTTTATCAATGCCTAAGATGATCTCATTTTTGAAGTGGTGATTTGACCGTGGTGGTTTGTGTCGTTAAAATATTTAGCATATTATTTTTGAACAAAATTGTTACGATGTGAATTAGGAACTTTGGCATATAATGGTAAGTATTATAAAATGTTATATTTAGTCTAACATGTTTTTGTTAGTACATAGTTTTTTTTCCTTCATAGATTACATGTTTACATTCAGTAGGAAGTTTCAAAGTAATATTTTTAGAACAATGGTGAAAGTAGGTTTTAGTGTTTCAATCTCGTCGTTGCGTCGAAATCAGACACACTAATTTGAGTTGGTTACACGTATGATAATTATTTCTCTCGTTTGCTATTTAAATTCCTACAAGAACCATGTGCTTTCTGTTGATCTGGTTTTTGTGCATTTACATGCAACATCTGATTAGATATGAAAAGATAACACATAAAAAATATTCTTTAACATTCAAGAACGATAAACAAAGTGAATCAATTACTTTGAAAATTACCTTTTATGGTAATTTACCTAGTCTATATTATTTGCTTGAGGTAGCAATTTCTTAAGACTTATGAAACATGCAATATTTGTCATTATTTTTGAATGTCCAGACCAATGCAGTTGTGTTTTGTTGCAGAATTATATAAAGTGAGTGAAGAGTACATGTACACAAGATGTCCTCAGTAGGTCAATTAGTGCCCCAGGTGACAAGAGGTCCACCCAATATGACAGTCAAATACAATGGTCCCCATATTGAAGGATCATTTTGCACTTTGATTGATTACAACTATGATCCTATCATCAGTGTTATTTGTGCAATGTATATTGTCTTTGGGATTGTGTATACATTGTTTGGTAAGTTCATATTGGTATAACTTTTATTTACAATTTTTAAGAATTATCATATTCATAATTTTTTGAATGAAATAATGAAAAGTATGTATCTTTAAATATATTTAAATAATCATTTGTTACAGGGTATAGATGCTTTAAAGCAAGCATGTTCTTAACTGGGTTTACATTTGGTTCTGCGATTGTTTACCTGATTTGCTTGCAAGAATATCTAATGCCTCCTTATGGCAATGTTGGTATGTAACTTTTAAACAACATATCTTTATTTTGATGATTAAATTTACTCTGTGAATTAATAAGTTCTTTTATTTGTAGGAGTGGCGCTGTGTGCTGGGCTACTCTTTGGACTGATTACAATGTTGATACAGTATGTGGGCCTCTTCATGACTGGATTCCACACTGGTCTTCTGTTAGCCATTGCTGGATTGGCAATATATGACCACTTCTTAGATAGCAGACCTGTTTCGGTAAGTACTGCATAAGGCCTTGACTTATTTTATTGCTTAAGGTTAAATTTCAACATGTTTAAAATTCTCATAATTTGGTGATTTAATAATTGAGAAATGAGTGTTATGTTTTTGACACACATATTTTACGTTATTTTAGAAAAGAAATGTTTATTTACATTTGTATGATGTTTTAAAGGTTTCAAGGTTTTGTGTTAAAGGATGAGAGTGGGGACACACCTGTGACTAAACTATCGCACAACTGTTGTACGATTTTCGATTGTTTGCAGCTAAATCAACTGTTTAGTTGCAAAACTAAAAATGGAGTAGTGTGCGCACCTCCATAAATGCTCATAGGAATCAAAGCAGGCCTTAAGTGTTTAGTCAAAGGTGTACAAACACTCTAAATGTATTTTTTTATAGGAACTATGATAAAACATGTGTTTGTATAACATACCATATACACATGTAATGTTGTAATGTATCAATTCTTCTGATCAATATTAAACAACCTTGATTTGTTTCGTCCTACTTGCGATGTTGAAATAGTACGCTTGAATAGGTCTTGCAGACAAAAAATTACCCAAAGTTATAAATGTAGCTTCATTGTTTATTGAAAAACATCTATTCAAACGTTCAATGTACTCAAATCTATTGTTGCTCAAATACGTCTTTGTAGTAGGTTAACATTGATAACGATAAGCATTTGACAGAAAATTTAGTTACATGAATAAGGCATTTCGGGTATGAAAAAAGTATATTCTAATTGTTCAACTTTTAAACATAAGACCAAAGATATTTAAATACACTTAATTTATTCAAATGTTTTTAAATGTCTGTATGAAAACTACTTCTCAATTCCTACTAATATTATAAAAGCGAAAGCTTCGATAGATGTTTGTCTTAACATATCTTCCAAGCGCTCCACAGACTACATATAGGCGTAGATGTAATCTATAAGCTGGAACAACAGGCTATTAAGTTTTTTAATTACCCGCGGACGGTGTTATTTTTTAAAAGTTGACTGAAATAGCTCCGAAGGCTTCTTAGTAAGGTTTTGTTAAATTCCGCGTAGACGAAGTCTTAAAACTTTAAGAAAAAAGTTCTATGAAAAGAAACTTTTTAGACGGTAAGCCTTTAATTGCTAGAAATCGAAAGTTTGCAAAGCTCATAATCAGGCACGTTTTATACCGAGAAATTATGAAGAAATAAATCTACGTAACCGTAAAGTAGTAAAAACTACTCAGTTGACACACGTGAATCGGGCGCAGCCTGTTTCGTAAGGTTTATATAAAATACCTACATATGTATTGTATCAAGGTTTATTTTTCTCTTTTGTTTTATGACTTGCATTCTAATTTGTAACTTTTTTCATAATAAACCTGTGAGATATGTGAAAAATTTGATCTTGACTTCATAATTTCTTACCTTGATCTTGCATATAACCTTGGGATTAATGTATTTTTTTAAAATAGCTGTAAAGTTTATAGACATTTTAGGATCTTATTGGTTATTTTTTTTTCAATTTTATATTGATACTGGCTTTCGCCCGCGACACCGAATTAAAAAAGTAAGTGGCCTATGTGTTCTTCTAGACTATCCTCTACATCTATTCCAAATCGCATAGAGATTTAAGCTACAAAATCTAACGGAAAACCATCCATCCATTTAAACTTTCGCATTTATGATACTAAGAAGTATGATAATTATAGTAAAATTAAATTGTAATACTCGAAACTAAATGTAATAGTTGGCATCAAAATTGATCAGTGGGTGTATTAAATCAATAGAGAGTAATCCACGCGAGTTTAACAACATAATACCCGACCTCAATTGCATGTGTGCGTGTTAAATGCTCAATTTTCGATGTACTGCCAATCTTTGTTATGATTTGTTTTCATCCTGTGCATGTGAACACATTGACTCGTAAGTTGTTCTAAATAAAGAATACAAAATATTAATATTTTGAAAATACATATCGTCGTAATATTTTCTTGAAACAGATAAAAGAACGATTTATCCTTAACTCACATACCTTAACCATAAACCTGCCTGTTTTCGTAGTTTATGATCAAAATATTTCATTCCACTTTATTTCATAACTAGCTGTACACCCTATTCAATCTGCGCGGAATAAAAAACAATTGGTAGTACATAAATTCTTCCAGTCTATGTTCTACATCTGTGACATATTTTAGCGATATCAGTTAAGCTGTTGAGATACTTTCTAACACATATCCATCCTCATATTTTGAAAACAGACAAAAATTAATTAATGTAGAGTCAATTGAGTTTTTCTTTTCTTCATTAAAAAAAAGTGTACTTCCAATATTTGAAATTATAAATTTGTACAATTATATGCGTATTTCGTATCTGCGTAAGCGAGTTTTAAATATCATTTAAAATTAGAGCTGTGCTTATATAATTACTGCAATTAATAAGAATCATCAAAACTTCTATGCAATTAGTTAATTTAAGGCCTTGAAACACTATTGATTGCGAAATATGTTTATCTGTGCAAGCAATGTTTGTTGAGTGATGTGCACACGTGTTTATCTCACGAGACGTGCAATATATAATACTTTATAAATGTTTATGCGTGTTATAGTCCGATCAACTTATCTGACCCCGTGGGTGTAATTGAAACTAAATTGAACCGATCTGTCAATGAAAAAAAAATGTGCCACAAGTTCCTTGTCTTGTCCTTGTCGTACTGCAGTTGTAGTATCAAATCGTGTGTGTTATTTTGAATGACTGTATTTATTCATCAGTATTAAGTTATATACTTTCTAACATAACTAAACGACAGCCAATTTACGTTCAGACAACGGCTTGGAGACAGATAAGTTTGTCCGACTATAATATGTCGAGATTAAATTCATGATCGCTGTACATCCGTATGCTAAGTTTGCACACGTTTTAAATTCCTTTTTGTACATTGTTGGAAACATTCATTATAATTTCATACATGATAAAGATTGTATTGTAAATATCTACGGAACTCGAATTTCATCAAAATCGATTCGTATACAAGACCTGTTGGTAATGCAGATGATATCATAAGCATCGCTGGCTTAAATTCGCAAACGCGAAATTTATAAATGCTTCTATAAAGTTTGAGATTGGAATACTTTTAGGAATATTTATGCGCTGCTGGCGAATGTTTGAAAAACGAATGGTACCTGAACTGAAGTTTTCATTCGGATGCATTGATATAGACATTAAGTTCTATAAATCACAATACCATCACTCAGAGTACACGAAGATAACTATTATCTTGTACTTAAATTAAGTAACGCATTTTCCCTACTGCCCAAGCTGACATAAAAATGGCAGTGAAAGCTATTTGTGAAAGTACGCACGATGTTTACACATGATTTGTACACTGTTCCATTAAAATAACGTAGTTTATTCAACGCTTTACGTAAATGCGTCAATACGAACCGTGATTCCTTTGATATTGTTAGTTCACTTATTAGTTGTGTATATAATGGTAGGTCTGTATTATCGTACAATGCGAAGTGCAATGTTTATTGGTGCTTGCAATGGGGCCGCGTACACTTTAAATAGAGTATGAATCTATCGGGGGGAAATCTCGTAACGAGCCCATTCGAGTACATTCATCGGTTGACCATGAATTATATTTTTATCAACTATGATGTGAATTGACTTGTATTCGAATTTTATTCATAGCGTAAACTAGTTATTTTAAATCTCAGTTAATTGAACTAGTAGAAAAAACTACCGAGAGACGTCTTACAAATGAAATGATTGAGTTAGGAAATAGCAGAGACCTACTTTCTTGTATTGTAATAAATCAATATGCGATGGTTGATGTTCTCAGTATATTGCAAGCAGTTAATAATAAATTATATTACACTTTTACAACACATCCACGATTCTACATGATGTTTCTTTTCATTCCAAGATCTATAATAATGATGGTATAAAAAAATGTTTTACAAAATTGTATGTGAAGTGTGAACTAGCATATTTCTCACAATAACCATATGTGAGATGTTCGTGTTTCCGACGTCGATTCTAAAATCGGTCAATTATATTTCTTAGTTTAATCGTTATATACAACAATAGATATCTTCCCTTTTCCAATATTCGTATAAATCTGTTTTTTATGTAAAGTGTAGCGTGTATTACAATAAAATGCAATTTTGCTGTGAGACAAAAGTCCATTTGCAACTTACGAATACATTTTCAAATGCGAATTTATTTGTTGCGACATCAAAGGCTTTTCGACGAGACAATATTTCGTCGAAATGAAGCTGCATATCCATTTTTCGTTGTAAAATTGAGAGGACATCTAATTGTCAAAGGGTGACGTCAACTGAATATCATGCACCGTTAAAGCTTTTGTTTAACTTGTATCGTTAAACTGTTTCAACAGTAAAATGTCCACGTTTAGCGCGAAAGCTGGACTCATGTATATCGATTTGGCGACACACTATTCCTAACAGTTATTTCGTACATGTTCGTTTATTATTATCTAACTTTAATTAGTTGTCATTATTATGGTATGCCAACTTGTAAATTCCTTTCGATCTTCACATTTTATATTTTTGTTACGTGTCCTTAATCATGAAAGCGTACCTTTCGTAATTCTGATTGTCGCATTCAAAGCAAAGCACATTTCCCTCATTCGTTTGTGTTATGACCATAGAATTAATGATATTTCTTTTTTGTTCCAGTATTGGTTGTGTGTGGTAGCGTTGCTTTGTTCCGGAATTTTCTTCGCCGTCATCAACTTGTATTGGAAAAAAGGTAAGCTATCGGTAAAATTAACGATGAATCTGTTACCGTAATGATACGTAATTCAATGTTGTTTAAATATAATTCACTAATTGCATAGTAGACTATTGTAATTGATGTCAATGTAAATATTAGATGTACGAGTATAGCAAAACAATTTTTATTGTTCCAAAAATAAATATTTCTAATAGTCGTCATATGTTTGAAAATATTTATGTAAAGCGATTACTCTGTGTAAACTAGGAAGTTACTTCAATTAAACTAATTAGTCGGAATAATCTTTAGCGACCGCATTTTTGAAAAAGTATTTTCGCACTAGATTACACCTTACTTATAGAAATAATGAAATGTTCGTCCTTTTGGTAGATATTATATTAAACTAGCTTTCTCCCGCGACTCCGTCAGCGTGGAATTGAATAAGAAACAAAAGTGAAAAGCTTATGTGTTCTTCCAGACTATCGTCTACATCTATGCCAAATTTCATCGATACCCATTCAGGCGTTTAGGCCACTAACTCTAACAAACATCCATCCATCCAACAATCCATCTATCCATCCATCCGACAATCCATCCATCCATCCATCCAACAATCCATCCGACAATCCATCCATCCATCCATCCATCCATCCATCCATCCATTATCTATCTAATATTAGTAAGAAGTAAGATTAGTGAGATAGTAATATTTGAATTTAAAAGAAATATAAAATATCTACATTGCAATTTATCCTGAAAAATTTTAAAATGTTTTCTACATCTGTTGAGATTTTGATGCGTATTTAATTAAAGCCAAGATGAAACCTTAACACAAAGGAAACTAGTTTGATTGCCACTTGAAGACTAGACTACGGCGACGTAGTACGGATTCACTGAGGATGACAATCTTGGTATTTAATAATAGCATTGCTTCGCATTGCGAAGTTTATTTCTAAAGCGATTCTTTGAAACACAAAACCTGGAAGAGTTTTGTCACAAAGGCCTTTGTCAAACTGTAGAACGGTATAATAGCATGACTTTCTTTTTCTATAATTGCATGAAGATGCGAAGTTACTTTTACTTGATGAATCAAATGATCCATAATAAATGATTCCCGTGAAATATTCTTAATAAAATCAATAAACTATTATTAAAATTAATATTTCGATAAAATGAGTAGACTTGCGATTCCTCTTGTCTATTATATTAAAATGGATACTAAGAATAGCGTTTTTAAAAGCATCGGCAGACACTCTTCGGCGAATCGAAGCGTAAGAGGATTAAAATCTATTCGGAAAAGTAGAAGTTATTTTCAACGACGGCTTCAAATTTTATATACGTTGTTGAACAAATTCAGAAATAGAATTGTAAAGAAATATCTAAGAAATTGCTTTTAATATAAATGATGTGGGTTCTATTATGTTATTTTTGTATACGTGTTTTTCTATAAATAAGAAAAATCAATATGTAAGTCTCGTATCACGCATCAATGAATTCGCCGCGATGCAAAAACTCTTTTTTTAAAATAGTTAAATTCGGAAATTGAATAAAAATGTCTTTTTCTCTTTTCAAATATTAGTTTCTTCGATAATTTATATTTGTGTGTACAGAAAGTTGACTACATCTTTGTATAACGTCAATTATGTTTTGCTGTAACATTGTATAAGATCGAATGCGTGAATTTTAAATTGTGTCACTTGTTACGAACACTATTGTTAGCTCAGTTTATTCAAAGACAATGAAGGATGGGAATATTGTTTTAATACAGGTTTTGCGATTTACTGTTATATAATTTACACTCATAAATGTCTTTGTTATGTTTCCAGTGTTGACAATATTCGGCACAAGTGTTTACGGAGGTGCGGTGATAGCTACAACCCTTGATTACTTCTTCGAAAGGATGATGATGCTTAAATGGGTAAGTTTTATTGACCTATACATATATCTAAGAAAAGTTTTTATAGGTTGTATTATGGAAGCTTCACCTTCTTGTGGTCCTTCCTATAAATATAGATAAATTTCATAGTATGCTCAAAGGTAGAAACCCCAATTAAAATGTACTATTTCAATTACTGGCAGAGCGAAGCTTTTAGTTATTAAATATCGATAGATATCTGGGCAGTGCGTCATTTGTTTCATTTCCATAGACAATCTATGCGACCGCGTTAGAGTGCATTGCCTTAGGGAATCGTGGATCAGATTTACATATATGGATAGATTTCCATGTATGTACATATTGATTTTGTTTTCTGTAATTACATACACGTGCAAATATCAGTAGCACTAAAATGAAACAGCGTAACAATATTAATCTGTTCGATAGTCGTCTAGGAGAGAGGTCGGCAACCTTTTTGAGGTTGGAAACCTTTTCTGGCGTGATATTTTATTTATATGCATCGAAATTATTTTGTGTTTTCATTTCAATATACACGTTTTTAAGGTTTCAAAGATTTTATTTATAATTTATGTACTAGTACAATTAACTTCTAGACAGAATCAAGTATTTTATAACGTAACAATTATGAATATTCAATTATGTCGTAGTCACAATGAGTAGATATTTAAAAGAAATGTTCTTTATTGTTTTATACAATTGAGAAGGATTTGCCAGGGCTGTATTTATTTTAAAAATGTATGTAATGTTAATGTTTACGTATATTATTTTGTTAGCTATGGGAGCGCGCTAAGCTGGAGCCGGCGGTACCTCCACCGTGCCGGCTCTCTTGGCTGACGCTTGCCGCGTGGCCGGCCGCCGCCATAGTTGGCCTCACTGCTCAATGCGCGCTCACCGCTACTGGAATATACCATGAGCAGAGTAAGTCATTTTGTTCTTGTTCCACTTATGTGTCAGACCACCAGGTTTTCCTTATCTAGATCTGTCTTCCGACAATTCTGCCTCTCTTCCTTTCATGTATCTCTTCCTAGATCTACCCTTCCTCATTTACATGCGATTCATCTACTATTTACAAAAAAAAAAAACAAATGTAAGTACCCTATGTTCTTCCAGACACATTCCCTATGTTCTTACACACACAGACTACATTTATCAAATTTCATCGAAATCCTTTCAGCCGATTGAGTTACAAACTCTTACAAACATCCGTCTTTCGCATTTATAATAGTATTATTTGTACGATGCATTTATGTGAGATGGTGAAACAGAGAGTTAGACGCTGGTCTTGAAAATTAGAGGTTCTGGTTAAATGAGAAGAGAGATCTTGTAGAAGAGAGATTTAACTGTGACTTTCAAAGAGAATAAGCGGGATGTAATATGTATTTGTTATCTGTCTTCTTTGATCATTAAACGGTAATATTTTATATATGGCAGGTATAAGTGCTCAGAAGCGCCGACTGAAGGCGCAACAAGCGCGGCCGGTGACACGCGAGCAACGAGCTGAGATGAAGCAGCGCAAATACAGATATCTGTACCAAGTTCGCACCGCGCATGGTGACGTCATCTCACAAGTGAGTTAACATTTTCCTAGAATTATATATTCAAACTAGCTATTGCCCGCAACTTGACTCAATATTAAGATAAAAAGTAGCCTATAATATGCCCGTCTTAACTACCCTTGAGTGAAAGTTCGGTCGAAATCGGACCAGCCGTTTCAGAGATTACTCGGAACAAACGCGACAGACAGACACAGACATAAAATGTTTAAATGGGATTTTCGTTAAGATTAGTTACGATCTCTTGATGGTACAATACTGCGTCTACATTAGGTAGGGTAATGAAAGACATTATTGAGTGTAACAGCGATCACTCCGGAATGTCTGTTAAATATCATTTTAGACTAATACAACTAGCTTTTACTGGCGATTTCGTACGTAAGGAATAAAAAACAATACTTAATAAGTAACCTGTGTTCTGCATTTTATAGAGATTCGTTCATTTATAATATTACTGACTCGTGTCGTTACATATTCTGCGAGAATTAAAAAAATAAGTATCCTGCGAGTTCCTACAGATTATTTTCTACATCTATGCCAAATTCATCGAGATCCATTCAGCAGTTTAGGCTACAAATACTAATAAACATCTATCCATCTAAGTTTTTGCTTTTTGTACTATTATAATAAGTCGTAACCTCACTTATTAACGATTTAACTTTCGCCCGCGACTTCGTTCGGATGGCATTGAAACAAAACAAAAGTAGCCAATGTGTTCTTCCATACTATGATATACGTCTATACCAAATTTCATCTAGATCCGCTCAGCCATTTAGGCTACAAACTCTAACAAATATACATCCATCTAAACTTTCGCATTTATAATATTAGTAATGTTACGATTCTACGTATTCCAGTCGTACGTGCAAGCGTTGCAGAAGAAGGCTCAGTGCGGCAACTGGAGTGGCGGTGCCAGTGGCGCTGGCGGCGAGTGCAGCACGCTGCAGAGCGACTCTACACATCTTACTGTCGTCGCTGGCTCCGAGCACGCGCCACATACAGACTCCGATGATGATCTCAATCAGATACGAGCAGCGCATTAAGGTATACAACACTTATAATCTCCCTCATTATCCTACTCCCGTAGGGTCGGCACAATAGGTTTTTGTGCTCCACATAACGCTATCTTACGTCATCTCAGTCATCACTCCCTTCTTGATCAGGTCACCTTTCACGCAATCCATCCATCTCTTTCTAGGTCTACCTCTACCGATGTACCCCTCCACATTCATAACTAACATCCTTGTCACATGCGACTCATCCCTTCTCATAACATGCCCATACCACACTAACCTTTTACTCCTTACCTTCTCTACTATTGGGGCTACTCTCAAACTTCCTCTAATATACTCATTTCATATTATATCCATTCGTGTTGCACACAACTGTTATGAAATAAAATAAATAAATAAAAACCTCTTTATTGCCATCCTTTGTTTACGGATACATTGTCTTGCAGTATACTACATTACCCATAAGTAAAGCTAATTTTCAGTCTTCAGTCTGTACTTGTCGGCCGCATTGCTCCCATCAAAAGTGCCCATCAGTTTGCAAACAAACAAAAAAGAACAACCATATAAACAATTATGATCACTTAATACAATTAATAGAAAGTAAAATAATTAGTAGTAATTCTTCTTTAAAACCTTTTATAAAGACGTTACACTCTTTTTTAATTATTTCAAAAAAGATAAATCAATATTAATAGAATTCTCATTACAAATATATTTTCTGTTTCAGAAAGGGAGTTTCTATGGAGATACGCAGCTGTGAAGATTTAATTTCATTCAGTATTACCTTATAACGACCCAATCGTATTCTAATTGTAATTAAGTATTTCAATGGTATATTTATATTCTATTTGGATTTCTTATTACGCCATTGGATTATTGTATAACGTGGGGTTCAAGGCCTAGGTTTGTTTAATTTAATCTATTGCCAAATATTAAGTAGACTAAGTTACGATTTCTATATAACGATTTATTCAAGTTATTTAAATGATAATCCCAAAATAATACGAATAAAAAATGTTTTAAATTTTATAATCATATGTCATTGTATTGAAAATTACTTTATAATGAAATTAAAAAAAAATAATTAAAAAATAACCAATTGTTCTGATAACGTACATTTGCAAACTGTCTGATGTCTTACGACCCCATCAATTAAATTAGTATTCGTAAAATAGGAATGTTTATATTTTATTTGTGATAATATTTTAATTATTCACTGCCATTTACGTGTAGCTCTTATAAAATTTCTTAAGATCATTACATGATTGTTGGTGTTTTTTGGTCTTGAACTCCTCAAATTGTGATGAACAAATTCAAATGTATGTTCATTTGTACGTTGAATTATTGGACCCCATATAAAAGAGTACGCTCTGAAATTATTATTAAATTGTTTATAATTTTAATTAGCGAAAGATATAGCGAGAATTTGTACTTGTAAGTTTGACCATACAAAGTACCCTTCATTAATTTATGTTAACAATATCCTTTTATTTCATTTATAAACATATTTTATAATGGAATAATTGTTTAATAATAGTTCCGTGGCATTGCTTGCCGTTTTTTTCCTTCTGGTCTCATAACAATTAAGCTTCTAGAAGTTTCAAGAAGGGCCATCTGATTGACGGGTCAGCTCTTAAAAAGAGTATAAAATGTTTTAAATATAACCGTTAAATTCGGTGGAAAACATGTTAATTTTTTTAATACAATTATATTTCAGTTAAATGTTTGGTAGTTATTTTTACGGTCGCTAATGTCAATGCTAAGCATTTGTTTTTTTTTTATTAAGAAAGTTTTATTCTGGATAAAAATTATTTACCCGACCGTATTGTTAATTTAGTCAAATTTAAGGTTATGATGGCAGCTAACATTCCATAAACGCACAAATACAGAACAGCATTAAATGCAAATACTTGTTAAGAAATATCTGCAACGGTCGGGTTTTTTGTACATTCTGTTGCGTGTGATATATATATTTTTTAATTTTGGCCAAAGTTTATTTTAGTTGTTTATTGCAAATAGCACAATGTGGGGATGATCGATAGATGTTCTTGTTATAATAATGTCATTATTAAAAAAAAAATAGAAATAGTTTAAACATTCGCTGTATAAATTTTTGTCGAAATTGCAAATGGTTTTTTTTTATAAATAAATACAAATTTATTTTACAATATTGTTGAAAATATTTTACTTTTGTATTTATTTCACTTAATGTTTTAGATTAACATGCTTGTGTGTTAAAGGCATTATAAACGTGTATTACAAATCTCGGCAAAACATCGAACATCCTTACAGCATTTCCTTAATTTTAAACCTTAGTTTATATTTTACGGATAACGAACAATATTTAAATAGTTTCCGAATATTTGAATACTCAATATTCGTTACATCTCCAGTATTTATATTTATTCCCTGATATGTTTAATGAAAATTTATTTTTGCTATTTATAAACCATTTTCGTATTTAAAATAATTTTATTGAGTTAATAGAAACTGTCTCACAGTAATTGTTTGAGGTTATAGCCTGACCAGATATAGTAAAACTCTCGTTGTATTGCGGGGGAAAATGTGAAATATTTTTTTTTGTGCACATTACAAAGTGATGTAATAAAAAAATCGGTTGAAGCGCCCCCAGGCGGTGATTTTTTTTTGGTTAATCTATAATGAATATCGCGGTAAAATAGTTTTATGATCAAATATGGATGAGGCATTTGCCCAAGAAAGGGACTTCTAAATTATTTATAATTGTTGATTGACGGAAACTTAAATGTCTTGTAACTCTTTTGTAGCAAGATCAAGGAATTCTTTTGCCAGTAAACTGGTCATTTAGATGTAAGAGGAGTTTTATAAAAAAATGTGGTGTTAATCAATGAAGGGAAATCAAGTTGCAACGTACACTTTGTATATATTATAGTTATAAAATAGACTTATCTAGAGTAGGACTTTTGTGGTGGAAGTTCGAGGAATTAATTTTGATGTATGCTCTATCCATTCAGCCGCTCAATGTCTAGTCTTACGTTATGTATTCCGGATTATTTTTACGCTGTATTTATAATTCTCATTGTAATCAATTTCTTAATAACTATGTATGATTATATTTCACTCATGCCACAGGCCTCTTAGATATAATGTTTATTATTCAAATATTTGATATTTAAATGTTCTTTGAAATATTTAAAAATCATAACCTTTTTGAATAACTTCTCGTATTTAAATCTGTTTATTTAATGATTTAAGAGTCATATAGTTTATATCAGTCATTATCCTGTTTCGCTTTCCTATTAGAATTATTCAATGTTATTTTTATTGTTATTTTTATTTGCACGTGATTAGAAATTTGTACCCTTTATATTAATATGATTATTTACCTCATTACTTTGTTTTTTTTTTCACCATCAACTAGAAATCATTTATCTCCGTCACCCTCGTACGTTTAAAATTCTTAACTTGATGCTTTCATAGCATACTTGTACAAAAACATTGCTATCTCTGTTTTTTACAAAGATATTTATGAGATAGTAATATGTTATGCACAAGGTATTGCCAGCCTATATTACCGCATTTGCACTTGCAATTTATTATTGTTTTCATGATCGGAACATTGCACGAGCTGCCCAGAAGAGAAATTCTAATGTTGAAGTTCACTTTTCATAAAAAAACCTATCAAACTATTCAAGATAATTCTGCAATAATTAATAATAGAATCGTATTCTATATGCAACCATTATCACTAAATGTATTGACTAAATAAAATCCTGTCAGCTGATCCTAGTAAAAATAAGTATTAAAATAAATAAATATTTCCTAAGATATCAACTCTATATTGGGTTATTAACCGATTTTTCAACATCAGTTGCTATTTAAATTTCTGTTTAGATAATCTAGCCAATGAGGACCTTATCTAGGCCTAGCCTTTCTCGAATTCAATAAGCTTGTTAACCGAATGTCATCTCTAAGAGTCCAAATGTTCCCACTACGGGAACAACTGTAATTCTTTACAGCATATGCTCTCTCTCTCTTTTCTTAGAGAATAAAAGGGATGAAGATATTTTAATTCAGTTACACGACTAGAAAGATTACAATAACATTTATTTTTCATAGCATCAACTCATCTTACTTTTCTGTTTCTTACCAATTATACCATTAGTTCTCTCTTTTTGACCGACTTCCCAAAAGAAGGAGGTACTCAATTCGTCTGTATGTTTTTTTTTTATTTTTTGGAATAATCACGCACACGATACGTACAAATTGTTTAATGTCAATTTGTATGACTAGAATCATTGAGGTAACTCATCCAAAATTATGTCTGCCAGTTTTTTGACAAAATTATTGCCTTAAAAAGTTTAATAAAACTATAAAAATAAGCAATTACAATAACGTACAAGCCATTAATAATTGAAAATAAAATATAATAGCACTAAAAGTTAATAATAGAATTTGTTATTGTAGTTCTAGTTTTCGATAAAAAGTGTTGATAAAAAATTTAACCTTTACACTGTTACCGACATTTTTGCCATTAAAAAAAGTAAGTTTCCATGATCAGATCGGAACAGTACAATAATTAGGGTTATATCAAATCAATTTATAATATAAAGAAAATTTGAATGAACTGTAATCGTGGATTTCGACTGCGAAAAGTCTTGTAAAACAGTAGGTTACCTTTTTAAAGAGAATATCAGTGATGCCGATGTGTCTAGATGCTTGCAGTCGAAACCTGAGGTTAAAATGTGATCACTGCCAGCCTTGAGACTTTTGTTCACTTACTTGTGATATCACAAAGTACAATTTATAACATAATAATTATACACAAATAGTTTTGGCTCCAGTTATATATAAATTTCTAAATAGGCACGTTTTAACTGAACATTTTTTTGTAAATCTGAACAAAAAGACAATCGACTGTAGTCGATCATTATAATAGTAATTAATGTTGTTTTTAGTTTTTTATGTGTTAATGCTTTTAAAGGAAAGTTGATTAAGTTTTGATATATATATATTTCTAAGGAATCAAATTTTCTTTATGTTCAGTAATCAAAATTATAGGTGTAGATAACCACTGATATAAAAAAATGTACCGCCAATTAAAAAACGCAACAAACATTTACTTAAATTCTAATTTGGAATAATGCTATTATTAGTGTGCGACAATAAAATATTTGTACTAATTTAATTGCTCAGCAATATTAAATTATCAAATGGAATAATCATTTGATTAATTAAGATTGTCAGTGATATTTGCGGCAGCATTGTTTAATCGTATTATACATATATAAATAATAATAATATATGTATGTATCCGCGAAAACTTCACAGCAATATAAATGATATATAAAAACTATCGGTGTATATGTAATTCATATTTTTATAAATGAATAAGCCGTTAAAAGAAATTCTAAATAAATTTTAGGCAACGTTCGGACTTGTAGAAGGTAGTATGTTAATTTGTGACGTGTACAGCCGCCGTTAATATTTAGGTATTACGTTCTTTAAGGATTTATAATTAATGTATATCGCTTAGCGTTAAGAACTCATATTCGCTATAACGTGAGCACAACGTACCCGAGACTTTTGACGTCAGAGGCGTTCTACAGTTTATGAAAAAGATTTATCGTGTTTGTAACGAGACTAAGAAAAATAAACATTTCTTGTTTATTGTAGAAACAAGGACGCGAGCACGCAAATATTCGAAGTCACGACATGATTTAGTAGGTGCTTAGCATTATATTATGCACGAGTTTTAGGTCGATTTTGGCCTGACAATTGTAATCATGTGATCGCTAATCATTTAACTTTATTTAATGACGTATCATGTATAAATATGTATGTGCAGTGTTAGGTACAGTACAATGAGAATAGTACACGTAACATGCTCTCCGAGTTAACGAAGTTAAAAATTTGAAATGAATTGTGATCTACATAACTTGTAGTTTGATCTAGATTCGTAACCACAAATCGTCCGGTCCAAAAAGCACTTATGTGAAAATTAAACCATTTCTTGTATTATAGTTATTAAGAAATGTTTAATTATTAGTATTAGGCCATTTAGAAAGTATTGAGCATTGGAACTGAAAGAATGTTCTTTCTGGAAAGAATTTGTAAGAAAAGAAAGGTTTTCGTTATTAATCAATTTACGTGTATCTTTCATAGTTCTTAAAAAAATAAAAAATGTGTAAGATCGTGATAAAAAAAGTTAGGAAGCCAATATTTTTCAATGGAATAGTTAAAAAGAAAATATATTGGAATTGCATAAAGTATTTAATTAATACCTTTTTGCTCTTGCAGAGATTAACGGACTTGATCGGATAATTATATTCTTTAGTTTAGAACTGATGAAAAAAAATTTCAGCGGTTACAAACTTCCTCCGTACATTTTTAGTGTTTAACAAATTCGTAGGATTGCTTGGAACGGGAAATAGTACAGTTGAATACAAAACGTTCATTATAAAGTGACGTAAAGATCTATCTAACTTCACCTAATTGTTGCGCATTGTACTTGTAACTGTGAGTTTCCACTGGAGAAACATGTTTAGAAAAACACATTATATGTCAATAAGAATGTGAGGTGTGACATAACGTTTTTGGATGGATCTTTCGGCAGTGGACACTCACGGTTCAGCTTGGGAATTTCTGTTTTTTTGACAAACATTCTGACATGTCTTCTATTATCAATTGAATGGATAATATTTGTAAATGTTACGTAATTAATACTAATTATTAATACTTTAGAACAGGCCTTTCTTGCCAACATTGTAATCTATGGACTTTATTTTAATAAAATATTTTGTTGTCATCTCAAAAATGTGGTTTCTTTTAAATTACTTTAAAAATTCAAATGAAATAAAACAACAATCAATTTAAATACTTTTAACATTTATTCATATACTTACAATACTTTGGTTTAAACTTTCAGTGTAGGTAATAATTTAGATTCAAAAAATTTCATCACCACTACACGAAGAAATTAAATTTATTTTATATCTATATTTAAAGTATACATTTAATACAATTAACAATAATTATTAAGGTTTTTTACCTTTATTATTCGCTTAATGCAGTCTTTAAAACAATCATTAAGCTATTTAACAATTTATTTATTGTTAAGGCATCATGATTAATTGTTGTCTTCACCGAAAATAAAAAAAATTACAAACATGCAGATTAATAACATTAACATACCTGTGTACTTTAAAAATGATGTCTAATCCATTATTTGAAACATTTTAACTTATTGTAATGTTGGTAAATAAATGGGACGTAAATCAACATAAAAATCAACAACAATTAACATTAGTTTTACAACATCATTAAACCCATCTCTACATAATTCGCCTTTTACAGTAATATTTAAAAAGGCTCAAGAGATGTTTTATTTAATATAATTCATATACACGTAGTTATTTCTTCAACGTAAGACGAAGGGAATATGCCGTAGTTTCCGTTTAAGTCGCCAGTCCACCATACGTCGTCTTGTTTATCAAAAATGTTTATTACATCACCTGTTAAAACAAATACAATTAGGACGAAATACATATAACGAACATATCGCAAGCTATGACAAATGTTCAGAACTTCGATACCAATAGTATCTTAAACATATCTCTTCTCAAACGCACCTCAGAGTTAGTAAACAAGAACGATTTAATGTTCATAGCAGAGTCAAATGATACTATTGGAAATCTGAACTCTCTGTGAAATATATGATGTTATAGCTGGCCCACAAGATGATTATTATTTTTAATTATTACATTTAAATACCATTACTATTGTATTTAAACCCACGTTTATCTTATTGACACTCAACTCACAAAGTTTCTTGTTTACAATGTTTTCTAGTATAAACACATTACTGTGTTTATTATTGAACAAATCATTCTTTGTAATATTTGGTGTATCGCGTTTTATAAAAAGTACTTTCGCATTGCAATTTGTGTCAGAAGAACAGTGTTCTGCATTTAAAACGTAACAGTATTTTGTAATCGACGAAACGGTGTGAATATTGACTCACAATTCACTTCCTGACATGCAACACATTCTGTAGATGAAACAATAGGCTTATCTAGTTGCACGATGCGTGTAAAACCATTTTGAATTATTTTCAAAAATTACTATAAATAGAAAAATAATTCGTTATCAACTTTGGGGTCTAATACCCCCTTTGTCCACATTAATTTAAACATAGCAGCTAAATTTTATATTAATCATTTTATAAGCCATGACAAACGGATTTCGTACATCTTTTAGCTAATTACTATAGTTATCATAGAAGAACATAGAGTAAAAGAAATGGCGCAAGCTTTTTAACGAACCTGGTGACAATGTTAGTTCGTCGTCCATTCTAGCCTCGTAGGTGTATAGAGCTCGACATCTTCCAAT